AGCGTGAATTTTTTACTGCGTACGCACATTTCCATCTTTGTGCGTACGCCATGTTTTATTATGATTTCAACGCAAGTCTTCGTACATGAGGCCCCAGGGCTCCCTGGTGGAATAGATATTGTCTCTCAATGAGACTTTCCTGTTTAAACAAGTAAATAAATATATTTTAAAAATAGGCACGTATGTCTAATAACCATGCGTTGTCTGTGCGTGTAAAGAGACTGATATGAAGGGGAGCGTACCGGACATCTCTAGTGGTTTTGTATGCTGAGCCAGAGTTAAAGCTGTAATAAGAGGAAGGCGAGAATTGAGCGGTCACGCCTCCCTGGAAGATCAACTCATTCTAGGTGGCATTTAGCACATCTGTCTCTGTTATGGCATGAATAAATGAAGCAATTAAACAGAACTATATGGTTGTAATATGATAAGCAAACACTTAGACACGTATTAATTTTTTACAGCGGCAACAACACGGCCATGAGGAAACTACTAATGTTAAACACCATAATAATAGCTTGCCAATCACGAAAACGATTTTACAAACTGGCAACTGGCATGTGATTTTATGGGCTATAATTTTAATGTTTTATATCATTATGGCTAGGAAGCAAAGATTTGCAAATAAACAAACTTTGCTTTCGAAGCAATTTCAGGTCAAATACAAGAATCTCCCTGCGTGTGATCTCCTCATCATGAACTGTGAAATACAGACACATCTCAAAATAGACAGTGTGGATTTAAATGCTATTTGTACATGCCGTTATTTAAAGGTTTTGGGTTAGTAAGATGCTTAAAGTCTCTTATGCTCACTGCAATAAAAATCATAATATTGTAAAATATAAAAATTCCTAATTGATTAGGTTTCAGTGTCACATGATCCTACAGGAAGCATTCTGATATACCAATTTAAAGCAAGACAAATGTCTTATTTCCTAGTCTTACTTCAGGATTTTTTGATGAGTGTTTAGACGGACAGCATTCATTTAAAACAAATGTAAATGCATTTTTTAAGTTGTAATTTCTTTTCAAACAAAACTTAAATGGCCTAAAAAATTTTAATGGCCCTAAAAAAAAACATATATACCAACCCTAAGAATTACATATTTGCCTTTGGGACAAGGAATGCAACGATTAACCGATTTCACTATTAACCATGCTTTAATTCGTCACGGTTGATTAATCGTGAAGGCTTCTCAACACCGTGTTTCTGCATAGAACAAAACTGCTGCAGCTTAAAGTGATGACAACTGAGTGCTAGTTTGAAGTTCCGAGCTTGTACTGTACACCATGCACACTGGATTAACTCTGGCTGAGGCTATTAACTAAGGGCCAGTCACATATTGCATCTTTTGCACACGCAAGTTCGTTATTTCCAATAGAGGCGCGTGGCTTGCATATATAGAGCGATGGACTCGTGCTTTCCAGACGCACCTACTAGATAAAAAAAAGAATGCCGTGAGCTCACTGAGAAAGAAAATGCTAAATTAAAAATACCAAACAATTTTGTTGTATAGTTGATCAAAAGGTTTAGCAGCCTTTGAATACATTTCTTCACTGTAAAAGGGAAATAATTAGCTATTATGTAACTTAGATTTACATTAGACAAATACTACTTATTTCTTGATTGATTGATTTTTCAAATTTATTTATTTATTTTAATTTTATTTATTTATTTTAACTTATTTGAAAAAAAAAAATTAATTTATTTATTTATTTCATTTATTTACCATTTTTATTTATATATTTTCATTTATTTTTTATTGTCTCTACATTTTATTAATTTATTTATTTATTAATTACATTTTAATTTTAATTTACATTTTTAATTAATAATTATTTTATTTTATTTATTAAAAATTTATAGAAAATATATTTTAAATTAATTTTTTATTTTATTTATTGACATTTATTTTCAGTGTAAAATTCTTATTAATGTTTTAATGACAAAAATTTTTTCACTTATTTTTAAGTCCAAAGAGAAAAGGACTATTGTTTGTTTTTTATTATTATTTTATATTGTATTACTTGGTTACTGAGCAGTAATAAACAACACTTTAAACTAAGGAGTTTTTATGTAATTTTTCTAAACTAGCAGTGTTTTGAAATTAAAAAATGCATAGTAATCGTGATAACCGTGATTATTTCTCAGGCTATAATCGAACAACCAAAATCTATAATCGTTGCATCCCTTCTTGGGACATCCATCAATATCAAGACCCCAACAATAAGTAAATATTAAATATCTGGTTACCATCTCTTTGAGTCAAAAACATATGCAAGAACTACAACGTTAATACCCATGTCTCCTACAAATACATCAAAGCAATCTGTGCAATTAAACACTACTTATAATGACATTACTTCTAATCTACAGCCTTAGCAAAGAGTAAAAATACAGAATAATAACGGGAAAATACCTTTACGGGATGATAGTGGGAAAAACGGGAGGGTTGACAGGTATGCAATTACCATGTCACTGATTCGGTTAAATTTGTTATCTCTGAGCCTCTAATGATTTCCATAAGGAATTTTAGATTTTACTTAATAATAGGGCTAGGCGATATGCCAAAAATGTCATCTTGCTTTTTTTCTTTTATATTGAACAATAACGATTGGTATTTTGCTATCAGTATCAATGACTGAAGCCACAAAAAAATTAAGGGGCTCTATTTTGACGGTCCATGCGCAGAGCGCAAAACGCAGGGCGCAAACGCTTTCATGCTGTGTCAGAACGCGTTTTTGCGGACGGACTTTAAGGACGGGAAATCTGCCTTGCGCCGCGGCGCATGGTCTAAAAGGGTTGAGTTTATTTACTTAACGAGTTATAGGTGTGTTTTGAGAATAAATCACTTAGAATCTCATCTCCCATTCCCTTTAAGAGCAGCTGAGTCGCGCCAAGAGCGCATTCGCTATTTACAGGACGCAAAGTAAGTCTAAGTGGAAAAAATTTGCATTTCATTTTATTTACGCACAGACATCAATTAGTCTACAAATAAATACTTTTGTTTGTTAAGTGCAAATATTAGTTTCAAAACTATTTCTAAATTCAGTTATAATTTCCAGCAAACAAATAAATGAACAATAATAACAAAATGTGCTCAACAACCTGAGTTATATCCTAAAACACATGCTGTGCCCCATATGGTCTAAAACCTGACAGGTGGGCAAATCTAAGCTTTTTTTTTAATAAAACAAATATAAATATGGATATAATAAATAATACTGCTAATAATAATAACATTATACAAAAGCAAATTGTTATGAATGAACTGAAAAAGCCTCCCGAGATGATGAAGAGGCATAAAAGCAGTGGTTTTTCATATTTATGTAGGCTAGAAAATAATATGTTTTGTATTATTTTAATCCTTTATATTTATATTCTATATCTATTCTTATTATATCCTATATATATCCTTAATATTTAAATTTTTTCATATGTAAAGATATTTGCCTATTGTTCTCTTGTGCGTATTAAGCAGTGTGTAAGCGAGGCGCAACTCTGCGCCGGAGTTTAGACCGGGTTAGTTTTGGTCTAATGAAAAATCTATTATAGTTTCTCAAAATAGCGACGCGCCAGCGGTCCGCCTCAGAACGCCTTCCTTTTTAGACCAGAACGCCTATGGGCGCACAAATGAGCGCTAATGCATTTGCTATTTAAACAGCGTAGCACAACACCTCAAAACGACTCTTGCGCCAAGCTGAAACTACCAAAAGACTATTGCGCCGCACCTTGCGCCACACTGCGCCAGGTGTATGATAGGGCCCTGAGTGTCCATTAAATAGCATAACCCATAATCAGTGGCTGAAAATTTGGTACATCTCTAATATCAACACACTTCTAGATACTCATTGTTGCATGTTTCTGCTCTGTGAAAATGAGTATTGCAATAAATCATTTATATTTTTTTCTCCTTAACCTCTTACGCTTCCTATGGCCTATAGAATAAAAAAAAAAAAAAAAACACGTGTCAAGCCATGAGAACCGAACCAAACCGTAAACCTTGTTAAAACCCCGGGTATGTATTGAACCATGGGCTAACTGTATTGTTGCATCCCTAGTGAGCACAATACCGTTATTCAATGATATTTTTATCCAAGGTTATCTACCGGCCCATGCCTACCACAACAAAGGGCATAAATGACATCAGTACGTAATAAAACGAATGATCCATTACTGAACTGATACAGAATCATCCGCATCTGCATAGTGGTGCATTGAAGAGACAATCAATTTTGACCCCCTTATACTAAAGTCACTCCAAAGCAGAATTACTTGATTAGCAGGGCACAAAAGATGAACTGGTTCACAACATTAGTTTCTTTAGTGTTTCACTAAAAGCTAAACAGGATTGAAACGACCCTACAGTTACCAAATGGATTATCCCTTTAAAAGCTTTAAACTATATTTATACAAAGTCAAAACATCATTAAATATACACATAAACGGCAGTGCATAGCCTTCACTGGCACAGCCTATTCTCTGACAGTTCCAGAAAGCCATTTTCAAGCCATTATTAAGTTCCCATCTGCTCCGACAACCCAGTGAATACTCCTCCAAATGAGCCGCACGTCTTCCTGATGAGTCAGACCTCAGACACGTCTCTAAAAAGCTACACAAGATCCAGTTCGACCATATAGGAGAGCCAAAAACAAGACATTTGACAGGGCCACAAATGAAATCGCCTGCAATACCTGTCGTTCCTGCTGGCTAGCACCCATTAAGGGCCACACACTGTGACAGTACCAGTCCTCGGGGCCTGTGCTGAATTATTCAAGGCTCTGTGTGTGGAGCTCAGATAGTCTAAAGCCATCTTGAGGTGAAACGCCAGCCATTTGACATTTGCACTGATGTGATAATTGAAGGGCAAAGAAGCTGGAGCGCTCCGATTTCACCACTGACCATTCACAAAACTGGTCAAAGCGGATGTGTAAATGTAGATGGTGAGGAGGAGGGGGTGTGGGCGAAGCGTTGAAAGGGGATAAAAGGCAAGCCGACTTACTTTCTGTCAGTGTGGTCAAGTCCACTCAGTCGGACCCCTTCGATGGGCTCGTTGCGCTGGCCACATGTGTTCCCGTAGCTGTCATATCCGAAGACGAGCCGCGCCGCCCCTCCGGTCGCGATGGTAAACCCACAGATGCCACACTGCGATGAGAACAGCAAGAATCATGAAAAGTGCTCATTTTAAAAATTAAAACATTTGTAAATTTAAAGGGGAATTTAAGCATTCAGTCAAGTATACCTTGTTTTGTACATTGGATTCCACTTTAATGAAAATACATTAAAGAGCCCATATTATGGGTTTTTGAAAATGCCCTTCCATGTAGTGTGTGACACAGCTCTAAGTGAAGTGAAATATCCAGCTAAAGGCTGATTTATTCTTCTGCGTCAAACACCGGCGTATGCTACGGCGCTGACGCATAGCCCTTCGCCGTGGCCGTCGCCGTCACTGACGTGCACCTCTCAAAAATGTAACTACACGTCGCAACGACGCGTAGCGCAAGCTCTGTGATTGGTCGGCTTGGTAGCGCTGACGAGTGTGGGCGGGGCCGAGAGCCGCGTGAATGGCGCGAGCGATTGTTTACAAGTGTGGAGTCCCGTGAAGGGGCTCCGGATGTAAAGTTTTGTTTTGTGTTTACGTCATAGTTAAAGTTGTTGCACGTCCACCAGTTCCTGCCTCAAAATGAGCGAGTTTGAGCCACTTGTATAACCAGGAATAGTTCAGGAAAACCAAGAAAGCAGCGAAGAAACTCGACACAGAGGAACATTTACACCTCACTGCCAACTAGCGTTTCGGAAGTGTTAATGCAGACTGACAGAGACATCGCGCAGAAGTATAAATGCACAGCCACGCGCGTTGCCTGCGCCATGAGTTACGCCGGTCACCTGACGCAGAAGTATAAATCAGGCTTAAGGCTTAAATCTGTAAGAGTACAGTGTTTAAAACTGTTGATTCATCTATAAAAGAGTCGACTCATAGTGCTTCAATCGAGTCGTCTTGATAACGAGTCATTAGGTGTTTCGCCATGACGTACTAACGAAACCAAGTTATTCACGTGCACGCGCAAACCCGGGAGATTTGAAAACTGCGGCCCCGCCCTCTAACACAGAAATTAAAAGCGATTAAAGTTGTTGCCTCGTTGACTCTAGCTTGTAAATGTATTTAGTTGTGATTTGTTACTTGTAACCGCGTGTACTGTTTCAGGTTAACTCGCTATATTCTCATATCGCGTGCAAAGCCTCGTTAAAAACGCGATGCGTGCCGCTTTGTTTACATTCCCGTGGAGGAGGGTAATGTGTGTGTGTGTGTGTGTGTGTGGACGCGTGCGTGAGGACGAGGGCAATATGTGTGTGTGTGTCTGTGAAAAGAGCAGAATGTGACAAGCTAGGAGATCTCCTCACCAGTTCTGGGAGTTTTTGCTCAATAAAATAGTTAGTCGTCTGTATTTTCAAGTCCATCGTCTGTATTTAAACAAACTCGATTAATGTAACCATTTTGAAGAACACGACATGTTTTACTATAGATTTAGGACCTAGGGTGCAGCCATCTTGGAATGACACTGTGTCTGACGTCACGGGTTGGTTCTGTTCCCTCCACTGAACAGGTACAGTGGAAGTAAAGGAGACTGCAAAGCCTAATTTAACCCAATGCGTGAAGTTAAAGACGTGAAGCTGGTGCAAATACAAGCATCAGATGTGTGTCTAATATAAAAGTATATATTATTATTCTATTTTTCTTTTATGCCTTTTAATTACTGATCATTTCATGCGCTTTGGTCCACTCGCTGCATTACGCTGCCTGACTGCCTGCCTGGTTTCAACCATGATTGTAACAGACTGAACCCAAAGACTGTACAGCCTATTTAAACTCGATGCACAAAGTTGTGGACGAGCATTACAGAGCTGGTAAAAATAAAACAAATACAAGCATTTAAGTGTCTTCAGTTGTGTCTTTTTCTTATGTTAATACGTCTGGTTTGATGCGCTTTGATCCACTCTCTCCCACTGCTCCAGCGCTGCCTGACGAGGGGATTTACATTCAGACTAATGCAACGATTAAAATGATTCATGACTTCACACTTTACTGAGTTACGTCTGTGTGGATTTTGTCAGGACATATTCCCTCTTCAAGTCGATCAACGCGATCTCTCAATATGTATGAAGGATGTGAAAACCTGCCATGTGAAAAGCCGCGGCGATCTTAGTTTGGTTTTGAATGCGAGCAGACATAATTCTCAAAAAAAAAAAAATGGTCTCATTATTCTGGCATTTAGCAAATATAAATGATTTAGGTAATCCTAACAAACCTAAAATAGTAAATGTTTAGTATGATTTACCATCAGACATTTTTTTAAATGTTCCTTTTTTTCGAGGGTATGTAAACTTCTGGTTTCAACTGTATGTGTACATGTGTAAAGTATATGTAAAGTATTCTTAATTTGTATGCATACGTTAGTGTAAATCAGAGTTAATTTGGTCAATGAAAATGGCTTGACTAAGGTGACTTCCAACTTAACTGAATTTGCACACCAAGAACCACTTTTCTAATGAATAAACAGCGCAATGAAGAAAGAATAACAAAAAATTATGTTGGTTAGTTTTTTATTATTTTGACAATTTTTGTCTCGTCTTTTTTTGTCAACAATAATGCCCTGTTCATTATTTAAATGTGCAGAGCATGCACATTTATAGTTTCAGTCACGTTACTAGCGCAGATTAAATGTCAGTTTCGGTTTGTGTCAAGCTATAGGCAACGATCATTTTTCGACGTTATTTTTATTGACAAAATAAACTGAGTTAAATGCACAAACATGTTTTTCCATTTCAATGACCTTTGTTAACATGCACTTGATGGATATGCGTGACTGTTATGCTCGCATCTCGCAAATGGTCGCCGCATTTTTAAGATTCCCAGAAGTCAAGTTAAAATAATTGAAAGTTTTATATGCAGCAACGGCGCTCACCAATGTCAGTTCCAAAGCAGCGGACCAATCGAAAGGAGAGGAGGGGTGAGCATTGCAATGGTTGTTGCTAGAGGGGCTAAAGCTGTGGCCGGAAGTTAACAAGCATTATTTATATTATTTACTAGAGGTGTCAAAATTAATAGTTTTTTCGGTGCACCGCGATGCAGATGCGGACAATTCGGTATCGGTTCAGTAATAATCATAACCGGTTATTATGTACTGACGTCATCTATCTCCTACGCGCTCTGTCGCGAGGGAGGCGAGCGCCAGTATTTACAACATTTAGGAGCCAACTCAGGGCCGGCCCGTGGCATAGGCAGTATAGGCAAATGCTTAGGGCGCTGTACATCCAGGGGGGTGCCAGAAATGAGCGCGGTTAAGTTAAGCCTGATTTATACTTCTGCGTCAGGTGACCGGCGTAACCCACGGCGCAGGCAACGCGCGTGGCTGTGCATTTATACTTCTGCGCGCTGTCTCTGCCGGTCTGCATTAACACTTCCGAAACGCTAGTTGGCAGTGAGGTGTAAATGTTCCTCTGTGTCGAGTTTCTTCGCTTCTTTTTTGCATTTCCTGAACACTTCCGGGATGTACAAGTGGCTCAAACTCGCTCATTTTGAGGCAGGAACCGGCGGACGTGCAACAACTTTAACTATGAGGTAAACACAAAACAAAACTTTCCATCCGGAGCTCCTTCACGGGACTCCACACTTGTAAACAATCGCTCGCACGGCGTCGCGCCATTCGCGCGCCTCTCGGTTCCGCCCAGACTCGTCAGCGCTACCAAGCCGACCAATCACAGAGCTTATGCTACGCGTCGTTGCGACGTGTAGTTACATTTTTTGAGAGGTGCACGTCAGTGACGGCGATGGCCACGGCGAAGGGCTATGCGTCAGCGCCGTAGCATACGCCGGTGTTTGACGCAGAAGTATAAATCAGGCTTTAGTGTTGCTTTCGATATTCCTGACACATTCAGTTATAGCGGCAATAACTCAAAAACCTCTTACCCTAAAAAGATCTAAAGTGTGTTTCCTACAAAAAGACAAAGCTGGTTATGTTTCACTGCTGTCTTTTTCTTTTTTTTTGCTCAACATTACGACCACTGCTCCCTTTAAGCCCTTTGCAATATGCGTTTAGCCGAGAGAGCTCACGCGGAGCGCAGCTCTCAGTAAGGGACCGTCAGAAAAGTACCTTTTTTCGTTTTTTTTTTTTTTTGGCTCCGCTCATCACAAGCTCTCCCGGCTAAACGCATATTGTGAGGGCTTAAGTGTGTGTGTGTTTGTTAGGTGCTGTCTATGTTTGTGTATGTGTTTGAATGAGAGACAGTGTGGTGCTGGTGTGTCTTTGTGTTAATACAGACAGCTTGTTATAGCCTCCCCCCAAAATATAACACTGTGTATGGAAAGAATCATCAATGCACCGTGATGTACCGAGATATCATACTGAACCGAATCGATGGCATGATAATCGTAACCGAACCGAACTGTGAGACCAGTATAGGTTCACACCTCTACGTATTATTTACTCAATAACCCATTAACTATATTTTATTAACGTCTACCCTATGGGTGTCAAAATTATTTGTTTCTTCGGTGCACCGCGATGGAGACAATTCGATATCAGTACAGTAATACATCATAACCAGTTATTACATACTGACGTCATTAATCTCCTATCTGCAATGTCGCAGTAGAATACTAGGAGGTGAGGGCAGGTAAATAAAATGCTCCTACTACTTAAACGCATACAATAAAATATGAAATACAGTTATGGAAATGGTGTCATTATTTCAAATTATCAATTCCAAAAACTGACCAATAAGACGTACATATATACAGTTGAAGTCAGAATTATTAGCCCCTTTTGATTTTTTTTTTTCTTTTTTAATATTTCCCAAATGATGTTTAACAGAGCAAGGAAAATTTAAACAGGGGCACTAATAATTCAGGGGGGCTTATAATTCTGACTTCAACTGTACACACATGTACAAACCCCATTTGTATATATTTTTCCCCAATTTCTGTTTAACAGAGAGCAGATTTTTTTTCAACACATTTCTAAACATAATAGTTTTAATAACTGATTTCTAATCACTGATTTATTTTATCTTTGCCATGATGAAAGTAAATAATATTTGACTAGATATTCTTTAAGTTACTTCTTTAAAGCTCAAAGTGACATTTAAAGCCTTAACTAGGTTAATTAGGTTAACTAGGCAGGTTAGGGTAATTAGGCAAGTTATTGCACAACAATGGTGTGAAAATGCTGTGAAAATTTCCTTGATCTGATAAACATCATTTGGGAAATATTTAAAAAAAGAACAAAAATTCAAAGGGGGGCTAATAATTCTGACATCAACTGTATATGGATGGATGGATGGATATGTATAATCAAAAAGTGTATTATCATCCCAGGTAATAGCCTATAACAGAATTCCTCTGAATTCTGAGAAACTTTGCATAACATGCATATAAAACCATAATATTGTATAGAAATTCTGAATGGAATGCTTTGTTGACTGACCATTCCCACGAGGAACAATGTAAATAACAGGAACCACGGCAGATCCGTGCAGCTTCTGTCCTCCAAAGGTTTCCATTCTCTTTTTGTCCTCTGAAAAACAAATGCACAGTGCTTCATGTTCAGACAACTTAAAACTGATTTTTATCATTCAAATAAACCGCCATATTAGATTCAATATTATTGCTATTTTTACCAAACATCTTCAGAAATGAAATGATAAAAAATCTGACTGTAGACCACAAAAAAATAAATAAATAAATCTCATGATTCACTGATATATTTTTGCCAATACGTTGGGTCAAAATGACAGATTTTTTTCTTTCACGCCAAAAATAACTAGAATATTAACTAAAAATCATGTTCCATGAAAATATTTACTAGCGTAAATATATCACAATGTGATTTTTGAGATGTAATTTGCTTTGCTAAGATACTTCACCCTCAGACACTAGATATTGAAATACTTGCCACTCAGCCAAATATTGTCCCATCCTAACAAACCAACCGAGGTAAAGTTAGTATCATATTCCTACATTAATTCAGAGACAATATGCTCAATTAATTGCTTACAATAGTACTTTGAATATTAGCACTGAAATCACAAGCAAGCATGACTTCAAAACAACACTAGCACTATTTATTTGACTGTGGACAAGGTTGTACTTTGATAGTCGTTAGCTGCTAATAAGATTTCCCCATTTAGAATTTGCAAAGAATACTATTGAGGTAAAGATGTTTTTATATTTGCACATTCAGTCTTTCTCATTAATATTATAATCTCAGAAAAGTATTAATTGGAAATTCTAATATAGCAGTCAACAACCATCAAAGTGCAGCATTGTTCACAGTCAATTAAATAGTGCTAATGATAGAGGTAAACTTGGTTTTATATTCACACATTCGTTAATTTAGAAGTCTCTATATTGTTTACCATGTTACTTTGAATATCGATCGGAATTAGCATGCAAGTATGGCTTGAAAACAACATTAACACTGTTTATTTGACTGTAAACAATGTTGTACTTTGATAGTCATTGGCTGCTAATGTGATTTCGCTATTTAGAGTTTGCAAATAATACTTTAATGAAATTATATTATTAAGGGGAAAGTCCGAATGTGCGAATATAAAACCAACTTTACCTCTATGTGCTAATGTTGTTTTAAAGTCATACTTACATGTGATTTCAGTCCGAATATTCAAAGTACCAAGGTAAACAATGTATGGAGCTGTCACTGAATAATTGTGTGAATATAAAACTAACTTTACCTCAATCAGAATACTTTCCTGAAATTATATTAAGGAGAATTACTTAATATGCGAATTTAATACCGACTAACTCAATAACAAACCACACATCAACAGAAAGCCTGTTACTTTTGCAATTATGTTGTGTAAAAATGCCAATTTCAATATAATTGACACTTATGAATGGTTATGTTTCATAATCACAAACATGTTTTTTTGTGCATGACCCAAAGTAGGTTCCATATACTGCTCATTAAACACTGACATCAAATTTTAAAGCAATGCTAAAAATAATTTCTTTAGATCCCAAGTTTATATATGCATCAAATGCAAAACAACAAACCCCCATAAGGCCTTCAAATGTGACCTGTCAAAATCTCACCACACAAGCATCGACCGCAATAGACATCAATAAGAAGTAACACCTCTTGTGTAAGCAGTGAGTAACAAGACAACAGTCCCAGTAAACATGTTTACACAAGGGTAAGATGATCATCGATGTGCTCACAAGGTTTGCAACAGAGATATCATTATAATAGCTGTCATGGCCAAACGCATTCATCGGTATGTGCGACCGTACAGGACATAATAATAGGATTACATGCGGTGCAAGCGACAGTACAGCACTTCACTGGCCCGTCAAAGGCGATCAGCCGTGAAACAATGTATCTCAGCGCGCGCGACAATATAACAAACATTAAAGCATCCGCATTGTATCACTGTACAGTGGCGGACGGCATCGCTTACCTCTGCGCTTCCACAGCATCCCATTGCCGGAGGGAGGTTTGGACCGCAAAAAAACCCTAAACGCTACACCGCAGGAAAACAATAACCCCAACTTGCAGGGAGTTGACGGAGTGTTTGTGACCCTGCATTAATCGCGCGCGTCGATCGCATGAATCTAGTCGGAGGGCTTTCCGCGGACGCGCTGCATAATAATGTTTGTTCGCTCCTCTCGCTCCAGGTAAAAGGGATTATTACTTTAGGATTTATCGCCCAGCACTTCCTGGTGGGTTGAGCAGGTGTAGCCGGAAAAGAACCGCAGCCGTCCATTCAGAGCGCGAGCTGGACGAGGCGGAGCTCGCGCGGGATGCTGGGCCGCTGGAGGAACCCGCGAGATTTTAAACGGGAATTTCTTATATTTAAAGGACAGCATATAACATCTTACATTAAATATATACATGCCAGGGGGCACGTATAAACAAAATATCAACATACAAAACGTACATATGTAATGATTAAATGAATACATTATAGAGCTCAAAGCGCTTTCTTGTTTAGAGAGTCTGATACTGGTAATAAACAAACACATCTCAGTCACCAATACCCTAAAATTAGACTTCTTATTAGTAAATTTGCATTTAAAGATGTAAAAAGTTAGTTAACAATATATGCTAAATTAATTAAATAAAAACAGCTATCCCCTTGATTAGGAATTTGTGTAGGCTATATGTTAATCTGGTTTGAAAGATGTGTGTATATTTTCTATGTAGCATTATTAAACCATAATCACATTTAAAATACAAGCAAAAAAATGCTTCACTGGTTATTTTAAAATAAAATAAAATATCAGTGACGCTTGTTTATCAATGTAATTTAAGCCTAATATATACAGTTGAAGTCAGAGTTATTAGCTCCCCTGTTTATTTCTGTTTAGCGGAGAGAATATTTTTTTTAATGCATTTCTAAACATAATAGTTTTAATAACTCATTTCTAATCACTGATTTATTTTATCTTTGCCATGATGACAGTGAATAATATTTGACTAGATATTTTTCAAGACACTTCCATACAGCTTAAAGTGACATTTAAGGCTTAACTTGGTTAATTAGGTTAACTGGGTAATTGGGCAAGTTATTGTATAATGATGGTTTGTTTTGAAGACCATCGAAAAAATATATAGCTTAAAGAGGCTAATAATTTTTACCTTATAATGGTTTTTAAAAAATTAAAAACTGCTTTTATTCTAGCCGAAATAAAACAAATAAGACTTTCTCCAGAAGAACAAAATATTATCTGACATACTGTGAACATTCCCTTGCTCTGTAAAACATCATTTGGAAAAAAAAAGGGGGCCTAATAATGCTGACTTCAACTGTGTATACACACACACAAACACACACACACACACATATGGTGGCTCAGTGGTTAGTACTGTCGCCTCACAGCAAGAAGGTCGCTTGTTCTGGCTGGGCCAGTTGGCATTACTGTATGGAATAGTTGGTGGTGTGGCGACCAAATATATATATATATATATATATATATATATATATATATATATATATATATATATATATATATATATATATATATATA